AACCCATATGCTCTCGCGTTATTTCCGCGGTGGGGGGTGAGACAGCATGGCAGCGGTGGTGTTGAGGCACTGTTGGAGAGGACTTTTACAGAGCTCGGGCAATGGAGCTGTCGGCACTATCAGGTGGAAGATTTTCGAAGGTCAGTACAAGTAAACTTATAACAAGCTGCATTTAGATAACAAAAATAGAAGCTCCGCTTGTTAAAAACTAGGCAAATGAAGGGGGTGTGGCATGAAAACGCCTGAGGGGAGTGGGATTCTCTGCATAACACTGCACGTTATCTCCAAAAACTAGAAAGCGTGATAGAAGAGCTCTTTTATACCTTTAAAACTAATGGATGCTGAAAATTCATCTTTGCCATCACAGGAATGAATTACACTTTTAAATATATGTTAAAGTAGAAAACTTTTCTTTTAAAATTTAATATTTCTGTTTAATGTTTTTAATGTATTTTTTTTTTTAAATACTGAGCACAGTCTTTTGAACACTAGTACAAGAATTGCAGATCTATAAACTCTAAAGCCCTGTAGACGTGTTTATTTGCAGGAGTTAGACAGAAATCTACAGTACAGTACATATCACGGCCAGATCATCCAAAGCTGGCCTATCGGAGAGTGAAAGGAAAGAGTCCTGGTGTCGTGTTCCTGCCTGGATATGGATCCAACATGAGCGGACAGAAGGCAGAGGCCCTGGAAGAGTTCTGCAGGTCACTAGGTCATGCCTGTCTGAGGTTTGTGACTGTTAATCATTCACTTATATGTGCAGTGGGGGCTCAAATATCTGAGACTCAATGTAAATAATGTAAAAAGTAACTGGAATTTTGAAGAAAAAATAAATTAAACAAATAAATGTTATGGTGTCAAAGGATTTAAGATTCTGTATTATCTAGGCCACTAATCAATTATGCAAATTTGTGACACAGATCATGTGACTGTACAGATGGTCAGATTTTCTTTCTTTGAAGCTAAATAGTCTCTTTGGATCATGAACATAATCATCAGGTTTTACGTAAATTTGTTGAGTTGAAATGGTTAAAAAACAAAATAGAAGCATTTTCCTTGCTCAGATTTTTGGACTCACTTTATATATTGATGACAGTAATTTGAATCATGCATAGTTTTATTTTTTAAGAACTTAAACTGCTTGGCCCAGATTTTTTTTTTCAGCAATCAAATAATGACCCACCAGTGTGTGTTGAAGTGCTCTAGGTAAAAGTTCACACAAAGCTCAGATCATTTTATGTGGATTTAAAGGTTCGATTACTCTGGTCATGGAGCTTCTGAGGGTGTTTTTTCAGAAGGCTACATTGGAACATGGAAAAAAGACGTCCTGTTCATGTTAGATGAACTCGCTGAAGGTCCCCAGGTAAGACTAGAAAGACTAGACCAGCTGGAGAAGTGCCAGCGTTTGTGTTTTTAGAAGACTTTTTAAAAAATAAAAAGGACTTCTATAAACTGAAATACAGGTGTTATTTCTCATTTTTGAATAAATGTGTTCAATGTTTTCCCTTAAAGTCACCATGAAATCAAAATGGAAAATTCTTATTTTTTAATGGAATACTGTAGTGTTTATTATAAATAATTTATCCGTGCACTTCATTATTTTTTTTTTAATTCATGTGCCCTCATAATCTTTAATCAAAAACGTTCACCTCCCCTCCCCCTCAAAATGACTAATCTTCTCTTCCGGTCACGAGCTATGGCGCAAGGGCGGAGCTGGTGACGTGAGGGGTAAACGCTGGGATAAACGACGGGGAAAAGCTGAAGCTGATGCTTCAATTTATAGCACTGACACCAGTCATGAGGGAGTACGTTACCCCTAAACATTGAAAAGATATTAGGATATTATGACAACATTACTCTTAGGACATCGCAAACTAATTTTTTTTCATGAATATGACTTAACCTGATGGAGGACGCACTCGGTCATTCAGGCAGTCTCTCTCTCTCTCTCGCTCGCTCGCGCCGTTTAGGCATGTTTTGTGCCGTTGATCGTCGTCGTCATCCTTAATAAATAAAACATTTATTCATGCTTGGGTGGTGGCTGTGAATCCAGTGGAGAGATCCCCCACCACTAACTGCAAACTGGCATTCAGATCTGCCTCCATTTTGTTTGCAACGCCCCAACTTCCAACGAAAATATCTTCTTTTATGTTCTGCAAAACAAAGAAATTCATGCAGGTTTGGAACAACCTCAGTAAATGATCACAGAATTTTCATTTCTGGGTGAACTATCCTTTTAATTCTTAATTCATTTTAAAGAGTGACCACTAGAAGTCACTAATAATTTTAAATATGGCATTGAACACTGGTTTTGACTGTAAGTACTGTAGTATGTTGTCTCCTAGATTCTTGTTGGCTCCAGTATGGGTGGCTGGCTGATGCTTTTGGCTGCTATCGCTCGCCCGGAGAAGACAAAAGCCTTGGTGGGCATTTCCACAGCAGCAGATCATTTTGTTACAGCCTTTAAGACACTTCCTATAGAGGTGAGATGCAACTGAAGTAGTTTGACATGCTTTAGTGTTCAGAATCATCCTGCTGATTAATGTGTCTCAAATGTCGGGGTATTGATATTCAAAAATCAGTCAGAGAGTTCACATATGTTATTCAGGTGAGAAAAGAGTGTGAGGACAAGGGTGTATGGACAATCCCCACGAAAAGTAACGAGGAGGGCATGTACACTGTGAGTATGGACTTCCTGCGTGAGGCGGAGAACCACTGCATCCTACAGAGCCCCATCCCTATCACCTGCCCCGTACGTCTCATTCACGGCCTGAAAGACGAGGACGTGCCCTGGCACATCTCCATGCAAGTGGCCGAGCGTGTGCTGAGCCCCGACGTGGACGTCATTCTGCGGCGCCACGGCCAGCACCGCATGGCTGAGAAAGATGACATCAAGCTCATTGTCTACACCATCGATGACCTCATAGACAAGCTTACCACCATGGTGTGAAACACTGTTTGGGATGGGGTTACCAAGCAACCAGCCTTAAGACCCTCCCACTTTCTTCCCGCTTCCTGTTTTGTTGTGTGAGACAAGAATGATGGAAAAGGTGAACTGTGGGAGGACAAAGTCTTTTCATGTTTTTTACATGTTTACCACAATGCTGTGCCATTATAACTTTTGGGTAAAGCTGCTGTTTGTCTAGCAAAAGGTTTGTCTAGATCTTCTGTAGGGCTGCACGATAAATCGCATGCGATATTTAACGCGCATCTTGTCAGTAAAGCCATTCTGTAATCAGCGGTAAATCTCCATCACGTGCGGGCTTTCACATGGAGCAGCATTAACTACACAGAGCTGTTGTTCACTGACAAGCTGCGCAAAACCACGATCATATTTTGTGCAGCTTGTCAGTGAACAACGGCTCTGTGTAGTTAATGCTGCTCCATGTGAAAGCACGCACGTGATGGAGATTTACCGCTGATTACAGAATGGCTTTACTGACAAGATGCGCGTTAAATATCGCATGCGATTTATCGTGTAGCCCTAAGCTTCTGTGCCTTTTTTACCGTATTTCACACTGTTTTATGGAAATAAAGCCTATGTATCAATATGCAGTATTTTGATGTAATTAATGTCACTGTATTCCTTAAATTCCTTAAAGGAATATTCCAATATATTCAATTTAAGCTCAGTTGACAGCAATGATTTTAAATTATATATCCGCACTCTTAATTCATTTTAAATGAATTAAAAGTGCTCACCAAATTGACTCCCAGAACAGACGTTTGAGGGGAAGCATTGGAAAGAAAATCGAAAAAGTTGTATTTAAATCTTCTTTAAATCTTGAATTTGAGCTTTAAAACTGTAAAGCTGATTACATAATTTTATTGCCATTTTTGAGTTTTAGGGTTTATGGCATTGTGTTGTCACTCATGACAAAAGTTGTAAAATTGGATATAACTTTACTAACTTAATTTTTTCCCCCTTACTTGCCATACTAAACTCATTGCTTGTCTTGTGGCCATAATATTGAAACAGATTCCAAATTGAGCTCATTCATTTGCTTTTTTAAAATACACTTTTGTTGTAATCAACATTAGACCACAAACACTGTACAGTAGACCGAGTTTGTGCTGAACTCTTAAATGTTTATAGTATAAGGAATTAGTGCTGTGTGTACTATTACATTAGCCCACCTGAACATCCCACTAAGCATGTTATATCAAAGCTGACCTTTCGGTTCTCTCTTGCCCTCTGCATTCTCTGTTTGTTTGGAGGATGTATTGCCACTGCTCCAGAAACAGCTCAGTTGTTTATTAACGTGCATGATTAGTGTTCGAATATATTCAATGGGCCAGGGGCTTTTTTTTTTTTTTACCCCATTCCAGTCCGATGAGCTTGTTTTTTTTAACAACCAGACTGACCTTTCTATATCTGTTGATTATCTGGGGGCACCAAATTGAAATGGCACCATGCAGTTTCCACTTACTGAATCAAAATAAAGCATGACTAGATGAGAATAACAATGTGAATACATCATTCAGGTGTCATTTAAATGACAGTAATTGCTCAATTGAAGAGCTTGCTGGTATTATATAAGCTGCCTTATATTTTGGTGTTCAGCCTACACTTCTAAACTACTATAAAGTACAATGTAATTTAATGCAATCTTAGGGGTATGTTATTAGCAACTACATAAGATTTAAATTCCTCAATTTACTCGCTTAGGTCTACTTAAGAAAAAGTGTTTATTTAGTAGTAAAAGTAGCTTTAAGCCATGCTTAAAGATTTATTTCAGTAATTATTTTAGCAGTAGATTACTTGTTTTTACTGTTTATCACGTGCCACTCTCTTTTTTCTCTGCAGATTTTGCATGCATTAGTAATGCATCTCACTCTAATTGGAAATGGGCTTGGTTATTTATTACTGAGAGGACAAGAGCAAAAGGATCTGTTTTTTTCCCCTTCTTTTTTCATTCTTCCTTTTTAAATCTGCTATTATTAAAACGCATTTAAGGTTACAGTGAGGTGTGTGTGTGTGTATGTGTGTAAGATCATTTTGTTACAGCCTTTAAGACACTTCCTATAGAGGTGAGATGCAACTGAAGTAGTTTGACATGCTTTAGTGTTCAGAATCATCCTGCTGATTAATGTGTCTCAAATGTCGGGGTATTGATATTCAAAAATCAGTCAGAGAGTTCACATATGTTATTCAGGTGAGAAAAGAGTGTGAGGACAAGGGTGTATGGACAATCCCCACGAAAAGTAACGAGGAGGGCATGTACACTGTGAGTATGGACTTCCTGCGTGAGGCGGAGAACCACTGCATCCTACAGAGCCCCATCCCTATCACCTGCCCCGTACGTCTCATTCACGGCCTGAAAGACGAGGACGTGCCCTGGCACATCTCCATGCAAGTGGCCGAGCGTGTGCTGAGCCCCGACGTGGACGTCATTCTGCGGCGCCACGGCCAGCACCGCATGGCTGAGAAAGATGACATCAAGCTCATTGTCTACACCATCGATGACCTCATAGACAAGCTTACCACCATGGTGTGAAACACTGTTTGGGATGGGGTTACCAAGCAACCAGCCTTAAGACCCTCCCACTTTCTTCCCGCTTCCTGTTTTGTTGTGTGAGACAAGAATGATGGAAAAGGTGAACTGTGGGAGGACAAAGTCTTTTCATGTTTTTTACATGTTTACCACAATGCTGTGCCATTATAACTTTTGGGTAAAGCTGCTGTTTGTCTAGCAAAAGGTTTGTCTAGATCTTCTGTAGGGCTGCACGATAATGTGTGTATATATATATATATATATATATTATAAAATCTTATTTTTAAGATAACGAGTTGTACCCAAGAAAAGTTAAATATTGTTTACTGAAATGTATTCTGATTCTGTTCTATAGTGTACTTTATTTTGTGTCATTCTGTCGTTCTATTCCTGACGTTTACGCCGAAAATGCTCAGCTCATGAATGTTAATTAAGTCACGCCGAGGCTACTTGGTTACTTTCGACCAGTGGCCGTCTACGCAAGCTAATTAATATTCATAAGCCAAGCCTCACCGATTACGTGCACCGGACAGTGCGCTCGGAGCCACGCCCCGTCCCCCGCCGCATGGATGTTTCAGTCCAGCATCTCTGAGCGCTGACCACAGGAAGGATTTGGCCTCGCTGCACAGGAGGACGACACGCACATCTGCTAGCAGTAAGTGAATCTTTATCCTTGACTAAATTATTTGTATGATGATATCGCAAGTAGAATTAAATAATTATCGGTAACTGTTTGAATGTAATAGTTTAAAACTAATTTGGGCTAAATATGCACATGCAGTTTCTTTTTGCGTTTGCAAACGCTATAAGGAATTGTAAAATGATTGCAATGGTCTCCTAGATTATTATTATTATATGTTCGTTATTGGTTTAGAATTTTAGATACTTAGTTTTTTCTTTAAAGTCACGCATGGGAACAGAAGTATGGACCACACCCCGGTCAATATTACCCCTTGTCAGTCCATGTGTTCATATACACAAATTTATATATGATAGTCTGTATCATAATACAGGAATATTAAATTCATGTTTACAATAAGTTAATGTGTGAATTAATATTTACAAAAAGTTATACACACTTAATTACTGTAACAAAAAAAAACAACAGAAAGAACAACATCTAAGGGGAAAATCATAAAGCCTTATATTTTCTTCCTTTTGATTCAGATTCAGCTAGTGTGTAAATTTGTTGTTGTTTTTAGATATACTGGGTAAAGACCTAGAATTATTAAACCTGACCATGGCGAACCGAGGACCCAGTTATGGACTGAGCCGTGAGGTGCAGGAGAAGATCGAGCAGAAGTATGACCCAGAGCTGGAGTCTCGACTGATGGACTGGATTGTCGCTCAGTGTGGAGGAAATATAGAGAAACCACAGCCGGGGAAGCAAAACTTTCAGAACTGGCTAATGGATGGCACTGTGAGTAAATATCAATTTGACAATATCACATCAACATGATTCCATTAATCATTTATTTATCTTTGTCTCCCCCATTCATCCATGTCTGCAGATCCTCTGTAGACTCATTAACAGTTTGTATCCACGTGGTAAGGAGCCTATTAAGAAGATCCCAGAGACTCCGATGGCCTTTAAGCAGATGGAAAAGATCTCCCAGTTCCTGCAGGCAGCTGAAGCTTACGGAGTAATAACCACAGACATTTTTCAGACAGTGGACTTGTGGGAAGGTACAGTAAAATTTGCTTTTATAAGTTCTATAGCAGCACTTTATGGACTTCTGAATTAGCATGGTGCTTGTAAAAGCAAACCACTGTAGAAAATTAATATAGGAGTTTGAATTGTTTCGAAAGATTGCTTTAAATCAGCCAGGCCTTGCATACTACAATACATCATCCTAGAAAGCATTGCAAGTTGCGTTCTTGGTGTGTAGCCAAAGTCACTTCAGTGCTTGTTGGTTCCCTTGGTTAAAGGAAAAGACATGGCAGCTGTCCAGAGAACTCTAATGGCCCTGGGTAGCGTCGCTCTCACAAAAGACGATGGACATTACCGAGGTAACCGGGACTGGTTTCACAGGTGAGCAGGACAATTCCTATGAAGATTACCGCCAGACTAATTCATAGTGGGGCATTAAGTCCTGTCTGGTTGGACTTGTGAATGGACTTTGTTTTGTTTCAGCGTGAACTCTTTTTGATCTCGTGTGACAGGAAATCTCAAGGCAACCGGCGAGAGTTTTCTGAGGAGCAGTTGCGGCAGGGTCAGAATCTGATTGGCTTACAGATGGGTAGTAACCATGGGGCATCTCAGGCTGGCATGACTGGTTATGGCATGCATCGGCAGATTATGTAAAACTATAGTGCCCAGCAACTTGCCTAAAAGACCCAGAAGACCTTAAACCCCCTCACCCCAGCCCTCACCAAGCAGTGGTCTGTGATGGTGCATCTATTTGATGAAGAAGAGCAGTCTTAGTAACGTCAAAAACTGAAGTATAGAGGTTTTAGAGCATGCTAGATGTATCTATTTTAAGTTTGGTTTGCTCAGCTTGTGATATAAATCAATGTATTTATTTGTAAATGTATGCAAAGTGATAGTAATTCTTATAGTTTTATCTAAGCAAGTCAAAACAGCTGCCTTATTCTCTATGAGCGAACAGTGTGTTGATATGCCAAATAACAGACAGCAACTATAACAGTCTACTACTTTACATAGTGTTTGAATGTACAGTAAAGGACAGTTTGCCCTTCCAGATACTGTATTGCACCTGTTGTTATTGTGATCAGTTCCTTTGCTGTTTTAATAGCAAAAATGAAAAAGTAAAGAATGTCAATGCACATACTAACCAGAAGTACTGTATGCAGATTAATACTATTTTCATTTGTGTTGTCCATCGTTGTTGTGTGTGAATATTCCATGTCAGTTTCATAATAAGCTTGGTTTTGGTGACCATGTTTGATGTAAATGTTTAATAAATTGGTACCTTAACATGATTGGTTATTGTGTTCTTTTTTCTATTAAAATAAAATGCAATATTGCATGGTTAAACCTAAAGAATATTGTACAATATTTTAAATATACTTGAGTTTTCAGTAGACATTTTTAGCTGCAGGGTTCTTTAATTGCTTATATAGTCCTTTACAGATTAAAAATGTTCTTGATGTTACATTATGTGTTAGATCTAGTTTCTTAAAAACATTAGAACATGGTTAAGGTGTGATCACATTAGCATTAAGGTATATTGTCAATAGTGCAGCGATTCATGAAGCACCGTTCACACAGAAGTTACTTTCAGACCAGGCAGCTTTCTGATAGTCAAGGTGGCGAATTTGCGTGACCAACTTGAATATGAGCAAAATCTATGTGGGAACTTTATCAATTTTGAAATGACATTTCGCCCAGTGACAGTAAACATAACTGCGCCTAATCAGATACAAAAACCAAAATTACAATATATTGAGGTCTTATGGAGTGAAATGATGAGTCTGTGTAAGAAACTGAACAACATTTACAACATTAATACCATTATTACAACATAATTAAGAATTATTTTCATTTTTGGGTGAGCTATTCCTTTAAGACACGGGATCAAGTCTATATATATTGATCTATTTGTTTAAAATGGCATGAAATTATTATTTAATTTAGCAATATATAATCACAATATTTGAATTTCATATATCTATTCCAAAGACGTTTCTCTTGGTGTGGCACATTGAAGCTCTGTTATAGTTTCTCCTAAATGGCCATAGAAACCTTTTAGCTCTAATTGAAACTTTTATTTTTAAGAGGGGAAGGAAGGCAGACATGACATATTTCAAAAGCTTAAAGCCAAATGGATTCATAAGGTCAAGCGTTGGGATGCGTTGGACTGCATTTGCAGTGTCACTGAAGTGGAAATTTAATCAAGATAGAGTAACACCCATAAGGAGCTACATGGGACCATATGCATTGAGCAATGAATTGCATGATGCTCTTTAGACTGACTTTATTTCTAAAGCAACCAAATCAATTACGGTAAATTCAAGCACAAGATCACATAACATCCCAAAGCCTTCAAGGAAGTGACAGACTGACTTTCATAAGGGTTTGTTCAGTTTAATATTAGCTTTACTCCACAATGTAATGAATATAAATGGGTTTTGTTAGCAAAACTCTATGATAATATGGATTGGGCAATAGCATGTTTCAGGTTGATTATTATCTAAACTAAAATACAAAAAGGAATTTCAATAGAGGACATATTTGGGTAAAATAAGTAATCTAAACAATGACTTTCTGACCAATGAAATAGCAGGTTTGCAATATGTCAAGTCTGAAAAATCTTCAAATGTTTGTGCACATTAATTTCCTCAAACACAGAGACAGTTCTTGGACTCCAGCTGCTGAAGTGCTTGAAGGACCATACTCTTTCCCACACAGATTTGTATGCTTTTTCTAATTGTATTGGTCAATGCTGCAGAGCAGAGTGTTTCTGAAAAAAATACCGGCTGTGTGTACGGTCACCCCGGGATCCCTGGAGACCCGGGACACAATGGAATGCCAAGACGTGATGGCAGAGATGGGGCCAAAGGTGATAAAGGAGACAGAGGTAAGAATGAAAGCAAACCGCTTGACTCCAGTTAATCAGTCACCTTTGAGCTAAGTTATGAGGTCACATAGGTACACAAATTAAACAACATTGTAAAAAATTATTTGGAAAGATGTTTGCAGTACCATTTGACATTTAGCTTTTAAAGTTCAAGATTAATAGTATTTTGACCTCCTTGCATGCAATGTAAGTGTTTCATACAATACATATAAAAATACAACTGTTTATGTTTTCTAAAGGTGATATAGGAACACAGCACAGCTGGTAAAGATGGACCTAAAGGAGAACCTGGTAAATATTAATTTCGTTGTGTCTTTTTCTAAATCCTTCCATAGGAAGAAGCTAAAAAATTATTAATTAAACAATTAATTTATTATATGTATAAATATACATATATTTTCAATTTGAAAATGTATATATTATATTTTGGTGTGTGTGTGTGTGTGTGCGTGCGTGCGTGTGTGTAAGTAATATATATATGGTAGTGGTAGGTCGTGGGTTCAATTCCCAGGGAACACACATACTGGTAAAAAATGTATAGCCTGAATGCACTGTAAGTAGCTTTGGATAAAAGCGTCTGCTAAATGCATAAATTATTAAATATTATTCAATTAATTAATTATTATTATTAATTATTAATTAAATTATATATAAAAAGAAAACAGATGTGATTATTCCTTTAAAAATAAACATTTATTGAAGCTGAAAACACCGCGAGCGTCATTCGCGCTTTAGTATGTGTGTAGTAAACAAAACAGTGCGCCGCTCCATCCGCCATTCATTCATTGCAGAAATCATGGCGCCTTATGCGTGATATCAAATGCTTCCAGATTTATAGTATTACTATAGCATTTCACCCGAGCATTGCGAATCACGCGTATGGCCATGATAAGCGCTGAATGAATGACAGGCTTTCTGTTGTAACACCACACAAGGTAAATAAGGGTGACATCTAGTGGAGAAGACTAATGATAAGATTCAGGTTAATCAGATCTTGTTTTAAATGTGTGCTGAAATAAATACCGGAAAAGATCGATTCGCGGCTTTTGAGAATCGATATCGAATCGACGTCATTTAAAAAAACGATTAATCGAAAAATCTTCTTCTTTTTTTTTTGCCCAGCCCTAATATATATTCAGTCTGGTAGTTTTTAAATGGATACTATTCAGTAAATATTTGAATTTCATTTGGCTATCATCAGGTTGGTGCTTTTTCAGGTGTTCCTGGCATAGCCAGTGCGAAGGGGAAGCATGGAGACAATGGAGAAAGGGGCCCACCTGGCAAAATGGGGCCCCAAGGCTTCCCAGGGACACTGGGTTTAAAAGGTCAGAAGGGAGAACTTGGTTTGCCAGGACCACAGGGCATCAAAGGGGATGTGGGTCCTATAGGCCCTGAAGGACCACAAGGAGACATTGGCTATAAGGGAGACAAGGGCATACAGGGTCCTTTGGGGCCCCCAGGGCGACCAGGCCCTAAAGGTGAAATCGGCCACCCAGGTATCAAAGGCAGCATTGGTGTTCGTGGTGAGAAAGGGTCAAAAGGGGACATCAGGGAGCAAGGCCCAAAGGGGGACATGCCTGAGATACCAAAAAGTGCCTTCTCAGCTAGACTGAGCGAAAGCACCAAATTACCTGCCGCTAACGCTCCAATTCGCTTTGATAAAATCCTCTATAACCGCCAGGGACACTATGATCCTGAGACCGGCCGCTTCACTTGTGCCATCAGCGGAGTGTATTTTTTCAACTACCATATCACTGTGTACTCTCGCAATGTAAAAGTGGCCCTGATGAAGAATGGTCAGCAAGTGATCTACACTATGGACAGCTACCAAAGTGGTGAGGACCAGGCTGCAGATGGAGCAGTCCTAGAACTGGAATCTGGAGACAAAGTGTGGTTGCAAGTGGCTGATAAACTGCTATTTAATTGGTTATACGCAGATGAAGATGACGACACTGTTTTTTCTGGCTTTCTCCTCTTTGCAACCTAAAGATGCTGCTGTGAATGGGAATTTAGTGGTGCAAAACCATGCTTTGTAAGAAAATATTTAAATTTCACTAAATGGTGTCATCAGAACGTTCTGTAAAATATAAATCATTGTTTATGTTTCTTATTTTCATTTGCGAACAAAAATTATGTGTCTGTGTGTATTTTTGCTAAAGCAAACATCACTATAACTAGGCTGACATTCCTGTAGCTTAAAGTCGGCATGAAACCGAAGCTGAGATTGCTTTCCTCTCATATAGAGTGGGATAATGCATTTTTTTGTAGGCCAAAACCCAAAAACTAGTTAGCATTTTAACACTTCCGGTTCCATTATCCTGTCAATGGGTTTTTGGTTAAATGCCTGAAATAAGGTCTGTGCTTGGTTAACGCAAGCTCAAGATACTTTCATATTTTATTCTACAACATAAAATGCATCAGTAATACCCCCTTGTGATTTTATATAAAGCTTTTACTTGTCTTGAAAAAGGTGGTTGCTATCAAGTTGCTAAATATAACTGCAGAGGTTGTGGACATTAAACGTCTTCAACAGGTCAACTCATACTTACTACTACTCTGCTTTCACAGCTTCGTTGTGTTAATAACCATGTTCTTGCAAACTGTTCTAGCTCAAACTTTCAGGGAAAATGAAAGACTGAAAGAGTTGTCAGGAGCTTAATGATGGTGACATATAAGTAATTTGTGGTGTAGTTCATTTATGGCCAATGTTTAGCTTTTTACTTCTGGTGATTGTATTTCGACTCATAATTTGTGTTCTTTTCTGAAAAGTATCATGATGAACAACACATGCAAGAATCATAAACTTTTGTTGGTCACAGAGCAATAATTCAAAAGCCAATGGAAAAAATCCTATTGGGTTTATTGTTGAGGGAACTGGGCAGGGCTGGACTGGGACAAAAAATCAGCCCTGGCATACTTTGGTCCAAACGGCCCATCACTACAATCAGAATCAGTCCAGTAGGACAGCACCCGTCGTTCAAAATACACACACACACACACACACATTTGACCCCATAACATGGGGAATGTGTGTGTTTATGTGTGTATACCTACTGTGTATATACAAGTTTAAGTGGACCAGTGTACTCACTCGCTCTTGACTTGCTGTTAATAGTCAGTCAAATTTATGACTGTTTGAGGAAACTAACCAGTAGGCTATCTACAAAAACTAGAGATGTACCGATCGTGATTTTTCATGGACGATTCTGATTGTCAGCAAATGCGCTGATTCTGACA